AATTGCTTCTTTACAGGAAAAATACTCATTGTTCTTAGACTACACAAGTGGGTCACTGAACTGTTGCTTGCCTTTGCGATGCTAGTGAATCCAAATTAGCTTGACTTCCACAGAGGATATAGGGAAGGAAAGCAACCAGCATTAATCAGAGCAACACAAGCAACTCTTCCAAAACAAATTAGCTTCAACAGTCTGCACACAGAGTCCTTCAGTCAGTGCGGCCAAGCTGAACTTAGGCCAAACTTCACGTCAAAAAGAGTAACTGGTTTAATACGTATCTGTAGAGTCCGCATTTGTTTCTTTTTCTTCCTCTCAATCCATCTGCAGGAAGCTATGAACAAGCCGAGCAAAGTAAAACTGCTCATCTTGTCACAGCCAGCCCCTCTGTGTGATGTTCATCCCACCTAAGCTAATCTCAAAGGCAGGTACTGAGACCATCAGGTGTCTAGAACCCCCCTCTTCTCCTCTGAAAAGGGATAGGTGATCTGCATGGGATTAATTTTCCCTTGAAATGTCTGCAATGTAATTGCTATCAACCTTTGGCACCACACAGGAAAGAGGAACAATGTCACATGAAAACAAGACTGGATCTGATAACTAATGATTCTGAGTTAAATTAAGATACCATTTCTATATCCATTCGTCAAAATACACTTTACAGACAAAGGAGGAAGCAGGCATCTCCAGAGAGGCGGTCATCAGACCTACGTTAGACATCTCCTGTGAGATGAGACAAGCCGTGTGCTGGAAGCAATTCTTCCCTCCAGTCAGTGTAAAGGGAGTCCAGACACATAACTCAGACATACATGCCTCCACCACCCGTGTGTGGTGCAATAAATCCCTATCTTCTAGAAAGCAATTTGGTCCATGTTAAAACTGGTGTTTTAAGATAGGTGGGATGAATTATTTTATCTAGGGTCATGGACAGTGACATTTCAGGAGACAAATCTGGGCCATTAGTATTAAATGGCAAATGTCGTAATTTCTGCTTTAGGTCCAAGAGATGTGAGACCCTCACAGAAAAATCAGGCATTGAAGTAAGTCTACTGCAGGAGATATTACTTCTTCTGGCTCCTCTCTGCCAGACTTGGTTTGACTCTCAGATGTTATCTCTTAAACTTGGATTTTCTAGTGAAAAGTAGGACAGTAAAGTAAGATTGTCAAGTTTCAGTGACCAAGAGGGCTTTCATATGGAAACCAGCCTCTGCTCCTCTACTCCTGGTATCAATACCCAACATTAATGTTTTCATCTGCATTTTGACCCCGCATGTTTCTAAAGATAATGCAGTGGCCCAACTGAACTGTTACCTGTAGTAAAAGTAAGTTTAAGCACAAACAATTATTCTGTAATGATAATAATTTAAAATGAGGGGAAAAATAATCTGCTAATAATTAAAAAACAATGCATTTCTTCCAAAGCTCTGACAGCTCCCACTAAACCTTTTATGCCTGTGGGATGTAATACCTTTTTTGCTCATGATTAATTACAAGTTCATCTACCACATCCTCTATTGCAGCCCAGATATAGCAAGTACCTCTCACCCAATATAAATCAAGCAGTGGTGAAATCAGAACATTTACAATGATTTACAATGGCAGGGAAAAATATATGGAACATAAAATAAGATAAACTTTTTATACATCATGGATAGGTATAATGGGTATTGCTATTTTTCTGTGTGGTCCATAGAGTCTCTGTGATATCTGACCACCAAGACTCCTCAGTGAATTTACTTGGTGAAGCAAGGAAGTGTTTCTAGCAGGAGGTGAAGTCTACAACTGAGAAGAGGGACTATAGGCAATGATGTGGCTGCCAATTACACTACCCAGCATGGACTCCAGGACTTCCTGTGGCATCTAAGATTAAAAGCGTAACGATAAATTGAAACCATCTACTTTCCCGAGGTGTCTGATCCTGCCTCTTACAACAACAGTGCCCAACCCTTTTGCTGAGACAAGTTGCCTCATGTCCAATGCAGACACACAAGGGCTGCGACTTGGTATCTCACCTCTGTATGGTGACCAGTGAAGAGTTACACCTACCTCATGATGCAACCTGCATGTACACGTCCATGGAAAAGGTGGAAGACGTGCAGGCCATGGGGTAGGAGATGGCAGGGAACAGAGAGGAGGAAAGCACAGCCGCCTGCTGCTCCCTTCCCTGGGCTGAGAGCAGGGCTGCACTGAGCCACCCAGCAGCCTTGTCCAGCCTGAAAGTTGGCCACCACTACCTTACTTACCATGTATTTCACTTCTATGATGTTCTCTATTATTGTTTTACAGTTTTGGGGTTTGGGGTTTTTGGTTTTGTTTTTGGTGGGTTTTGTGGGGTTTTTTTGTGGGTGGGTGAAGATTTTAGATGGCGACATGAGAATTCATACAAAGTAATAAAACACCACTTTTCGCACACACACATCCTAAGGTGAAGGAGCACTTTTCAAAATGTAAAATGCAGACAAAGGAGCTCAGCAGGAAGATGTTTACATTTGTTTAAACATTTCTATCATTGCAGAGAACCTAAATGCCTTATTTTGTACTAGTTAAAGAAGAGCTATTTACTGATGCTTTGTTATGTTAATGTACAGGTTGGGACTGGTGCTCCAAGCTGTATTGTTGAAGTGAGTGCACTGCATTATGTGCATACATTATGCTAAATAAACAGTCACTTAATCTTCATTCCTGACAGAAATCCATTCATTAAGGTCTACAGTAGGTCTTAAGCTTGAATGTTTCAGCGATGTTGACATTTCTGATTTCTCAATTTATGTATACATATGTTGAAATAAGAATACTACATACACACACATATTCATATACATATATACACATAAATAGGGATAAGTAACAATTGTATGTAAGCCAGTCTGCATTTACAGGACAATCAGACTGTACTAAAGGTGGTAGGTAACAGCCAAATACATTAATGAATTGGCAGTTTAACAAAAGAAGGAAAAATACTCAGTAAGATTCAAAAAACAGTCTGTGCTTTTGATCTCTGAGCAGCACAGAAGAGTGCAGATAGAATTTAAAGCGCATAAAACTATGGCAGCTCCCTTGAAAGCAGTTCACCCACAAAGCCATCTGGCTGATCATTCTCCCAAATCCATCTTAGACATTTCTGAAGCAGCCAGAACCCCACATACAACCTGGAAGGATGACCTGTACTCGGACTGCATTATCCATGTGTATACAAGTGGCATCAACATTGTTTCCTACAAAAGCCCTTGAGGGCTGTGTGCCCAGGACCCTTCTTGTCACATTATGGTGACAATGTCCTTTTGGATGCAAGATGAGTAAATATCACGGCACATAACAGAGGAGACGTCATATGCCATTTGACAAACCCCAGGCAGCAGGCCAGCAATCGAAGTCACAAAAACTTCACCTCATTTTCTGTCCATATCTCAGGAAACTTCATGAAAGAGGTGACAGAGAACAAGATGGGGTTGCATGCATTTGTCTAGTGAACCTCATGCAGTAGTGTATAAGATAGCTACCTGTCCTCTACAGGAGATCTGGATTGCACATTTTCTTTGGCAGCAGAATTTTTCTAAGTGATATTTGTCTATACAGGCTTGTTTCAAGGGCAAAGGACACTCTCAAGTGTTTTCCCATAAATACTAGTCAGTATACATTTATGTCCTTAGCAGCAGTTGACTTGCTAAAATTGGCTATATCTTCATCTTGATCAACATATTTGAGGAATAAAGGACCTCCTAACTGGGCAGGATATTTCAACAGCTCCTGCTGGCTGACGAAAGCAGATCCTTTACACTGTGCTGTGTTCATTTTCTGCCTGACTACTCTTTGACCTTCTTAGCCAAAATTGTCATTAACTCATTTGCAGCTTTGCGATCAGCTCTACTGTCAAGTATTAAATTTATTCTTGTCTCATTTTAGACTTCATGCAGTAAAAACTGAACAGGCTATTTTCAAGGCAAATGCAGGATTAAATGCAGAGTGACACACATTATCTTGAATATATATGCCTTTAAAACCAAAACGGAGTGAAGACCACACAGCTTATGCAATATCAAAGTTCTATAAAAGTTGTTCTTATTACCCACAATTGGTAAAGTATGTTTCACCAGAAAATGAGATGTAGATAATTTTAAAATCACATTACTCCTTTTCAGTGGAGTAAAATACCTGTAGCTCTTACTCATTTGCGCTGGAGGTTTGCCCCAGATCTTCAGAATTCATTGTGTCCAAGGACCAACAAAGAAGCGCTACATACTCGCATGGACCTCAGCTACATTTTGTCATAACAAGACTTCAGGTACACGAAACTCACTTAGGACTTCAACAAACCGATTTATGATTGAGGAAAAAAGGAAACTAATAGCTTTTGTTCTGTCAATCCAATGCAGGCAATAACAATTTGTTCTTTGTTCGCTTCCCCCCCTTCATCCCTAGAAAGAACTAACTATAACCATCAAACAGTTCTTTCTGGTCAAGCTATTTTAAAAACAATTAATGGTTTTGTGTGTGTTTTATTCTTGCTCCGATGAAGAAAAAAACCCAAAACCTGAAAACCTTACCCTCAAATTGTCTTTAAAAAGTGTTAAACACCATTTCCATAGCCATTATTCACCAAACACACCATGTCTTTTGACAACTCAGTTGGTTTTGAAAAGCATTGTTGCCTGATTATAGGGAAACACTCCAATAAGAAGCACATATACACTTAAATGATGCACTTTTTATGAAGTCTTTCCAAGAACAACAATAGCTAATTGTTGAGTTTCCTACTGGGAAATGTCTCTTCAATATGCAGATCTCGTAATGACTACTCTAATGCAAATTGTTGATGCTACAGTAACTTCATCATATATATAAGAAAAAAAGTTTAGCTCTTACTTAGAGTATGCTTTATCATCTTTCCAGGTAGCATAAATCCAACACAGCCCATGTGCTGTGTGGTTCACAGCCACCAAGTGCTCTCTTTATTTTACATACTATTACTGAATGTATCCGTAGGGTTTTTTAGTCCCACTTACTTGGTGCTGACTGGCTTTTGCCAACTGCTCATTGGCTGATTCAACATTAGAAGATGCAGTCTCAATGTTGGCTTCAATACTATCTGCAAATTAAGATAATAGAAGATAATTATAGGATACAAACTTAAAACAAAGACTTTATACCAACAGCAATTCAGCAATTTACTCATGGGCGTAAAGACATGAGCAGTGTCTTGTTTGCAAGCTGTAGTACTACAGGGAAATAGGAACACCACCCATTTTGATGACCACATAACCCATCAGAGTCAGCTCTCCATGTGTTCCTAGACAGGATAGAGGTTAGCAGCTCATCCCATTCCCACAGAAACCAGTTGGAAGACTGATAGGGAATTCAAAGGAAAGCAACTCCAGACTGGTAAATTTACCAGATGATTAGAGTTAAATTATAGAAGGGTCATGGCAGATTCTATCTGAAAATATTATTAGAGCTCAGGATAACATTCATCTGAGTACATGTGGGTTGTTGACCATGATCAGGTGTTTGTACTTGAGCAAGTCACCTAAGACACTATTGCAGTCAAGAGAGAGCAAGTCCACAGTGTGCAATTCATCCCATTCATCCCACTCTACAGTAGCTGCCTGCTAATGATCAGATTAGACGAATCACAACCCAAACTTCTGGATCACATTTCCAAGCTGCAAGGGAGGTCTGTACAGATGGCTCAGATTGAGATGCATTGCCAGTACCTAAAATTAAGGGAGGAGAATCTCACCCTAGCTCGCTAGGTTTAACGTTGGGGGATGCTGGGGGAACCATTAGAATTAAAAGAGACTAGAAAAGAAAGATTATCAGCCACACATTGCAGCTGGCAGCTTCCCACTTCCATCAAAGACAAGTATTAACTAGGACTCCAGAGCTGTGCTTAGAAAGCAAAATGCCTATGGTATAAAACCTGCAAATAAGGGTTTGTATTTCCAGTAGATATTTTAGAAAACTTGACCAGCTTATCCCCTAAGACATGTGCAGCCAAAAATTTCTCGTCACAATGGAAGAGTATGTGCACTTGGTCTGCTTCTGTGTGTTTTCAAGCAGATATTACACCATGCAGTATATGAAAATGGTCAGGAGGAATTTAACCACAGGTAGAACTCTGCGAATAAGATTCCATGAATTTCTCTAATCCTTAATAAAATTAACTGAAATTCTTCAACTGATGGTATTAGGAGTTGGATTAAGACATGCCACAGAAAATTTAAGTAATTTATTCTTTTGGTTTTGAAGGAAGGAACATGAATTAGTCTGGCCACTTTTGTGATGGGTAAAGAAATGAGCGTTTGCAGATAAACTGTAGAAAGTGATTGTGTTCAGGTTTTGCCATTTTTAAGTGAAACGGTGTTGCAAGTCTGTTAATGTAATTATGCATTTCTGATAACTCAACTTAAAAACAAAATGAAAGAGCAAAGAAACCACAAACCAACAGAATCATGGAATAAACAAATTTCAGCTTAACACTTGGAAACCTGTTAAAAGTTTTCTGTTGCACCTGGGAGAGATGGTTTTCCATTCCTTTTATTTTAGATTATGCATGCTGTAGTGTACAAGAAAAAACCTACATGGCTGACACTTTTATAGGTTGATATAACCTAATTTTATTGGCAATATCCAATGCTTCTCAAACCATTTTTACTAAGACTTTAACACCGTAGACCTTAGTTGGCATCACTGACCTCTGCCCCAATGCTTCCCTTGCATTCAGGATTTAACATGAAGAGATCAAAAGGCTTCTAAGATACTCAACCTCTGTCTAGGAAGAAATATGAAATGTTCTTCTACAGAACCTTGGAAGAGCTGCACCCACACATGCACACATCAGTGTGACAGCCTTGAAGAGTTTCCTTCCAGTATTGCATTGAGCTGAAGGCATTTCTGGGAAAGTGTCCATAGAAAAAAATGGTGCTGAATTACCAAAAATGATGAACAGAAACGTGAATGGCACAAGAGCACACTGCAGTGAGCAGCACTTTTGCTATATATATATGGGTGGATCTACCCAGGGTCCACCTCAAACAGGTGTGCCTGAGAGACAAAGTGGTTCTTGTGAGTGAAACATGGTAGAGAGATTTCAACCTGACACTTGATAATAATGAGGTCCTAGGCAAGTTTACATGGAAAATCCTATTACTACATCTCCACAAGTGCTATCACTGCCAATTGATATCACACTTCTGTTTAAAAAGAATAGATGTCCCAATTCCAGGGCTGGCCCTGATGTCTTTCCAGCCAGAAATTGTGGCTGACCCACAAATCAGTGATTGGTCATTCTATATATTTTATAGGAATATCAGTAGAGGGACATTTGATGTTTTCTGGTTTGAATTGAGAATAACTAAAAAAGTGGTAGATCTAGATCAAGGGCTAGAATGGCTCTGTAGGACAGGGCAGTGCTTTCTTTCTGTGTTTGCATCTTAAGACAAGGCTGCGTAATTGGCAACTACAAGTCCCAGTCCAATTTCCATCATTGTGTATATGGACCTCTCTGCATATGGAAACATCGGGGCACAAGGCAGAGAAAGCAAAAGAGTTAATATGTCATTAACACAGACAGAATGCATCAGCCAGAACAACATGTCACTCACTCAAGGTGACAAATCCTTAGTTTCCTAGTTGTTGACCAGTATTTACTTCTATGGCTAAGCATGACTACATGATTCAAAGTTAACAAGATTGGTTTTACCTAAACAAATTTTTATACGTTCTGTGGAAGTCCATAAGAACTAACCATTGGGACACCACCAATTTGCATCAATTGAAATTCAGCTCCTGACCACTCAAAGCTCCAACATGCCATAGCTTTCCTACAGCCAAGCTGTGATACACAGAAACTTTATAGAATCATAGAATCTTCAAGGTTGGAAAAGACCTCTAGGATCATTAAGTCCAACTGTCATGTTAAGATGGGGAGAAATGTAGATAAAATCAGGTAAAAATTGAACCCAAACTAAGAATATATAGGGCTGGGACACCTGTTAATTTTAGAAGCACAAAGCCTCACCATGTTTTTGGGTTACAAAATACAACTTTACGTAGGAAAGCACCTCCATGTATTAAGCTACTTTGTGATGGGATTTGGAAGAGATGGGGGGATTTGGAAGGGGTGGAGGGAGTGTGCTGAACACCTTGACAATCGCCTAATCGACGTAACAGAACTCACTCGTGTATCTGATGTTTCTCAGGTTCTTAGTGCAGACACCCTTCACTACTCAATGGCTCTTAAAGGCTGACTGTCCTCAGAAAATTAATCATTTAGACACAGAAGAGCTACAGAGGAGAAATTTATGAAAGATATCCTACTAAAACAAGAGTAATCTCTCTGTGCTACTCTTAGGGCAGAGGGAAATCACAGCAGGAGCTTAATTTAGATTCCTTAAATGTCCCTCCAGAGGAAACTAGCGCTTTCCGCTGCCTGCGGGGGGCCTAAGGAGATTTGCCTTCGTTAGATAAAATTAAACACTGTGAACGCCCCCTTAGCATTGCATGGCATGGGCTAATCATATGTTATGCACTGTGTTTTGCAAACACCATCTACGTTTTTTTCCCAGCACAGGCTTTCACAAGTAGGATGGATGTGTGCAACATGTCCTATATGAGTTGATGTGATGTTACAGGAGGAGGCTGGACCCTGGTGGCACTGTTTCTGCTCAGTTGTTCTCCTAACAGAGGAGGAAATGTCTTGGAATAAGCAAACCTCCTATTTAAAAAAATTTTTTGTAGCAACTTGTAATGCTGAGACACAGAGGAAAAACAAAAACAAACAAACCCCCACCATAAGAGTTCTAAACCTCTGTAAAAATAAGACATAAATATGTTAACACAATTTAACTAGATATTTTTGCTGATTAACACAGGAAAGCAAGGGAAGGAAAGAGAATTTGGGTCAAATCACAAGGAAGTAAGTAATAATTCAATGATGTTAATAAGTCGATGACGAATGTGTCACTCTCAGCTACTTCAGTGCATCTTTACTGAATGCCAGTGATGGTTCACAGCTTCACCTTGCTCACTGTCAGGCTCCTCGCCAAGGTACCTCATTTGGAGATGGAGAGGCAAGTATTTCCAGAGGGGCAGTAGGATCCCAGGCAGACTGAAAAAACATGCTGGAGGGGTCTGCCTTTTCCTTGCTCCTTTGGCTTAGCAGTGGGAACAGTGACTCTGTTCCCAGATAAGTGAGATAACCCAGCCCTGGGTCCGGGATTTTCCAAGGAGCCTGTATCCCAGAACAATTCCTGTCCTCAGCCTGTGATGACAAATTTATGGTGCAGTTTGAAAACAAACAAACACCTTAAGGTGATTAAGGTGATGTTATCGCCATGTTACTAAACTGAGGGACAGGGCTGCACCAAAGCAGATGGTGGGTGCAAACAAATGCACCAAGGAATTAGGAAAAAATAATAATTTTCCAGTTAAAGCACATCCTTTCAATAGGAGTTGTGAAGCTGGCAGAGCTAATTTAGATGTAATTTGATATGATTTTATGACACACTTGTCATACAGACAGAAATCATGTTGACCCTAAGAATTGTCTTTCAACTCTATTTACCTGTCTTCTGAGATCAAGCCCTGCTAATGACCAACAGGAGTCTTATATGTGAAATTACTGGAGTGTCAGTGGCTGGGGTGTAGTTTTTGTCCTAATGTATCAAGGAATCACCTGTATGACCTGAGTCTTTATAGCAGCAACAACGGACTGGGTTCACAAGGCAACATTTTCAGTAAAACCATTGAAAGACAGGAAAGTGAGCTTGTGAATGAGAATTTTAAAATGCTCCCACTTGGCAGTAACCAAAATGGGCCCCTTTAGGTTTCGCAGGATGCTTTTATTTTTAGCGCTTTAATAAGCTTAACCCTTATTTATCACTATAACTTCTGACTAAAAATAATCAATACAACATATTGAGAAGCACCAAGAATTAAAAAAAAAAAAAAAAAGAGTATTTTGGCAATGTATAAAGGTTTATTTCCTAATTAAAAGCCAAATTTTGGGTGAAATTGCTTTCAGCATAAAAAAGAATTACCATGTACTTGGAGAGTTTTAAGTGAGTCTCATTCCATGAACAAAAGATC